TTTTGTAGATATATAAATACAATTGGTTAGAGACTCGTGCTGATAACGTGTTATGAAATAAAAACAATTTACTAAAGCATGAACAAGAAATAAAAATAATTTAGTAAAGTATGAAAAAAAAATAAAAGCAACTTAGTAAAACATGAACGAGAATAGAGATAGAGAGAAGGAAGAGATTTTCTTCTTCAATTGTGTGTATTTTCCTATCTATTACAAAGCCTTTATATATGCATGAAAAGTGAAGAAAATATGTCATGGAATATGTCATTGAACATAAAAAATATATCATTGAATATGTCATTAACCATTTGAGAAAAAAATCATGGAGTAAGAATAGACATCCACTATATTTTGATTTTTATGGGGCTTTATTTAGCGGGATTTATTCATGAATGATAAAGTCTTCATAAGGAGCGTGAAAGAGCGCCAGGTAGGACAGACTAAGAATTTGAAAATAGAATTAGAACCCTAACAACGGCTACTTCTCTACACCATAATACATCACTAGTTCACTACCACTCACCAGACAATCCACTCTCTCACTCTAATTCATCCAAATTCTCCATAAATAAATAAATTGTAAAATTTCAAGCTCTGATTTCTTACATGGCTTTGTCAACGCCCGATTCAAATCGCAGCAAACTACCCATCGCAGGCCCAAGAATCTCGCGCAGAGTACGAATTGTTGGAAAAATCCGAGGATTTACAGACCAAGAGTCTGAATTATCGGGTGGAGATTCGAAACTGTGGGTCACTGTGTGCCGGCCCAAAGGGAGCGATTCGGATTCAGAAAAAGTTACAATATCATTCGGAGATGAAGGGAGTAGGTAATTATAAATTGAGTCCATATGTTGATTATGTTCAATTGTTTTGATTTAACATACCCTTTTTCGTTCCGATGTTAAATTTAATGAAGTAGACCCAATATTAGTTTGTTTTAGTTACAGGCGCGGGCGCTTCATTAGGCCCCCAAGATATCAAAAGCCCCAATTCTTACTACTATTAGATATAATAGTATATATACAATTATTGTTTCAAATTTTACATTTGTTTTTGGAATTTGATTGTAGTAGTTTAAAATGAGCAAATCATGTAAGTTTTTCTCTCTCACTAATTAATACATTTATCTCCCTTTTGTTTCTTATTATTCCTCCTCCACATAGATTCATTTTTTTTTCTGTTTAAGACTGATTTCATTTTCAATTTTAACACGATTTGCCTGAATAAGCTATATAAGAATGAATAGATAAAAATGCATTTGAATGTTAATACATACAATTTACCGCGATTTCATTTTGCACCTCAAAAAGCTAGAAGAATGAACTGTAAATAAAAATATATATATATATTCATCAAATAAGTTTCAGGTCTCTTATCGAAATTTAGCTTTAGGGCATCAATTTTGTTATGCCGAAGATTCCCATTTGTAAATGTGTTTTCTACATGATTTTGTTTCTTTTGACATTGATTGGTGCTAGGCTTCCTTTTTTTTTTTGTGAAATTTTTTGAGATTCTCTAGTATTTTGCAGTCGCAAAGATAGATATGAATTAGATAATTGCTATGAACAAGATGAGGATAATGCTGTAGTATTCTCGAGAGAGGTAAAGCCACTGATAGCAGAAGTTCTCAGCGGTCGAAATGCATCCATTATTGCATATGGGGCAAGAGGCAGTGGAAAAACCCACACAATCCAGGTATGTCTTCTGTGTATTTTGCCAATAAGTGGGTTCTTTTTCCATGTATCTCAGTTTCTCCTCTGCTTCTCTAATAATAACCTTCTGTTACTTTTAAACTGAGGATATTGTTTCTCTATGTTAGGGTTCTGTGGACAAAGAAGGTTTGGCAGCAATGGCAATAGCTGAGATCCTTTCGCAAACAAAGGATGCCCAGAAAGCAGTCCTCGTTTCCTTTTACGAGGTGTTCCAGGATCATGTCTATGATCTTTTGGACCCTAATCATCCCGAAGTTCAAGTGCTTGAAGATTCTCAAGGAAAAATAAAGCTCAAAGGACTTTCTAAGGCAAGTTAAAGTAATCCAATTCAATTCTAGGAGTAAAATATTGAGATATTGCACATTGTTATGGTTAAGATCGCTCTCTTCTTTTCTTTTACGTAGGCCGCTGTGGATTCCATTTCACACTTTCATGATCTAAGTGCTTGTTTGGCTGCACCATGCTATTCAGTACAAAAGACACCACTCCAAATGCCCAAAAGGAGTCACAAAGGGTTAATGATACATATAGCATCTGCTGATGACATCAAGGGTAGTAAAGGCCCCAATGTGATGAACTTTGTGGATTTGGCAGGTTAGCTAGTCCTAAACCTCCAAAAGTTGCAGAGATTTTCTCTTTTGCCGAATAATTGCTTTTTAGTTATCTTCACTGTATTATTATGCTCTCAGGCTATGAGGATTCCCGAAGAAGCAGCAAAGATGGAATTATGCTTACTGAAAGTGCTAGAATAAATAAGTCTTTATATGGCATTATGAACGTGGTGTACGCTCTGAACACAAATGAAAAGCGGGTTCCTTATCGAGAAAGCAAACTCACTCGGATGCTGCAGGAATCTCTTGGTGGCTCCAATCATGTTTTGCTGCTAACCTGTTTGGTAATGACTTTTCTCATTCTAACATGGTTAGATATTCTGTGTAGATTCCAAGTCGTTTTGAAAGATTCCTTTTCTCACCCTTTCATTTTTTGTTCTAGACTCCAATCCTTTGCCAAGATACTCTTTATGTAGCAAGTTTGGCTTCACGATCATGTCAAAGTGCTGGCCAGATATTGACAAGCTCTACAATGAAAAGTAAAAAGCACACCAATCAGCAAGCACGACTAGTGGGTACCCCATTGTCTGGGAAAAAGAACAACTCTGGCTCCAATTTGATAGGAAGGTATGCTACATGGCATATCATATTATGAACTAGAATATATGGTTGACGGATGTGTACTGAAATATTTGCTTCTTTGTTTTCATTGAAGGAAACTGTTCAGTGACAGAAAAGCTATCATCTCTAAGCAGGTACCAGTGCATTGCTCTTTGGTTCTGATTCCAATATAATTGGTTGCATTAACCATTAAAAAGAATAGTTTACTTACAAGTCCGCTACTTTAGTTGTCAACGTCAGGTTTGTATCTCTATGTTTTAGGGTGTGACATTTTGAGTTTCTTCACTCCACAAATTCTTTCTCTTTTGCTTTTGGAATGTTGCTTTTAAATTTTTGGTTGGGTTCATTGGTTTAATAAAACGATGGAAATTACCTAGTCTAGTTGAAATCTATTGGTAATGCCTACAGCATTTTTACATGTCATTGATTCATACCTATAACTTGTCATTGATTCATAGGATGATGTCACCTCAGCCACAAAGTTTAAGCCTCTTTCAGAGAATGCTTCAACTATCATATCTTCCTTCCATAAAAAGGTATATGACTTTATCTGTTGAAAGCATTGGTTTACTAAAGAAGTTAACATCTTATTCATTGTTTAGTTTATGCCTCATGGAACTTAAGATGTTATATATTGCTAGACTTCTCAAGACAAGTCCAATTCAGATAGATCTAGAGCCATGATATCATCAGCAGAAAATGTTAGTACACTTACATTTTGTAAATGCATTTCTGTTCCTTTTATATTTTTTCTGTTTAAATGGCTATGCGTGGGCTTGATCAACTTATTGGTTGCAGGAAATCCCAAGTGTTTTCAAGGAAACAATCTCTATTCATAAAATGGAAAAGGTGAGGCAACTTAAATTTGTTTATACAGTAGTCATTTAATTAAACAATTTTGACTGATGCACTTTAATTAATTGGTGTTATCTGTGTAATGATATTAACCTTTGCATCTCAGGATGCCTCTCCACCAAATAAAGCAAAGGATTTAAAAGTTACTCCCGAAGTTCATTGTGATGTCAAAGAAATACTTTCTTTTGCAGATGATGGTAGGTTGTGTTAAAAGTTGGTTATTGTGTTAAATTTGAACTTTTACTCTCTCTTTTTTCTCTCACAGTGCTACAAATTGTAGATGTTGATACAGAGGAGAAAAGTGGAGATATGAACATAGACAAAGTAGCATCACCACCACTAAGTGAAAGACTTAGAGAAATAACGAATAATTTACGGTTGTTGGAGTCTTCAACTTCTTTGCATATGTTGATGCCAAAGCAGTTGGACTCATCTCAAGGAAGCCTTGAAAGTTCTGGTGACATTATAGAACCCAAAACCCCAAAAGCTGAAACTGATATGAGAACCGGTGACAAATTGGAGATTGCCATGTATACTAGTCCTTGGGAAAGATTTCATATGCGCAGTTCTGGAGCAAAGGTTTAATTGATTTACTTTCGTGAGTAGTTCTTTAGCATTTTTTTGTCTGATGCCACTTCAACTTATTCACTCTCCTTTTTCATTGTGCAGAATTGTCTTGTCCAAGAATATCTGAATTTATTAAACACTGCAAGCAAGTAAGTGAATGATTCCCCTATATAACCGGTTCTCCACTTTTCATATAGTTCTTTTCCTTCTGATATTAATTGTCAATTTTCCTTCTCATCATATTTTTATTCCCTTCCAAAATCCAAGACAACTAACTTGATGATATTACTTCTCAAGCTATTTTCCCTGTCCAGCTTTCACTTATTTTGCAACATCCTTTTTTCCAGTTGTAATAAAGCATTAGCTAAGTGATGAAAATTGCAAGTTTGTAAAAGAAGTGCAACCCTCATATTATGTGATCTTAAGTAGCACAACACAAGTGAAGAAGCAACCGTGATATTTACTTCTCAACCTATGTTACACCGTCCAGCTTGCACCTTTATTGCAACATCGTATATTTTAGCTGTAAAGCATTAGCTAAGCGGTGAAAACTGCAAGTTCTAAAGTAGCAACCTTAATGTTATGTTATCTTAAGCAGCAAACTGCAAGGTTTCACAGTTCCTTCTTTTGGATTATGAGGGAATGACTCTAGCCAGAACTGGTCTTGTAAACCGCGCTTTGATGCTAAGACCGAGGCCCCCAAGAGTAAAAAGGGGTGGTTGTTATTTAAATGGGTTTCAGTATATTTGTTTATTCTTGTGGTGTGTGCATTGGCTAATATTTCTTATAACATTCTTCTTTCTCTCATTTGTGATTACAGAGAAGAGTTAACAAGGATCCAGGTAAGATCACATGTCAATACTATTCTTTTTCAAGCCTATCATTGCATATAATAGTTTATAAATCAATATCATATTTCGCTTAGGGCATCGGAGAAAAGAGAGCAACTTACATTCTTGAACTACGTGAAGAATCTTCAGAACCCTTTAAGAGTGTAAGGACCTTGGACATAATGTTTTTGCAACTGGAAAAAAGAAAAAGATATAGTGACTGTACTTAAATTTATTGATCATTTTGTTTACTTTTGTGCAGCTTGAAGATTTGAAAGAAGTTGGTCTCTCGGAAAAGGAGGTACTTTTACTATTCTTTCAATTTTTCTTGATGTCCAATGTGTTGCAGCTAATTTTGTAAGCTTAACGGTCATTACTGCCATATACTTTAATTTTCTTGAGCGCCATAGCCTAAGAAGAAAAAGTCCAATGTATGTGGGAAAAAGATAGTGTTACAAGTAAACTTGCCAAAGTCTTGTATGGTTGTTTTGATCTGGTATATATGCGTGTTCTGAATTTGACATTAATTTTCTTCATGCACTTCGCCCCTGTCAAAAAAGGAATATAATAAAAAGAAAAATTAAACAAGAAAGACATCTTGAGTTGAGGAAAACAAGTTAGAGGAACACGAAGAAGTAAAAATTTCACTTGATTTTTCAAGAACTTATTAAGTATGTTGGGATGAGTTATAGGACCTTCAAGCATTCACTTGATATTACTAGTAACTTTGTCTATGGGAGATGAACTATTATTCAAGTAATTTTTGCCCTTATTCTCTTGTTTTCTGCTTATGTGTCTTTGCAGATAAATGGCTTGATGAGGAGAATGGCTGGACAGCTTTTCTGCTAGAATGGCCTTTTAAGAATTGTTTGATGGCAACTAGAAGTTGCCAGCAGTTATATTATGATGATTTTGAATGTAATATGTTTCTTTGCAATTGTTCAAACAAATGGAAAAACATACTGCTTTGTGATATGCTATGCTTTTGTGGAAAATATACATAATTAGTCTCATGAGACGACTATCCAAGAACAAGAATTATCCAACTGAAGCTGTTACCTTCACTACTGTTTTGTGTGAAACTTATCCCAAAAAGGCATCGATAAATCAGCCCATAGAGCATCTGGCTCAGTCGTGATCATTTCTGTACAATGGGCCAAAACAAGGGAAGAGAGAGAAGAATAACAAGCAGAAATTCATGTACAACATCTAAATAAAGACTATTAACTTTTCTTTTTGAAATTAAAACCCAAAAAAAAAAACTTTAGGCTTGGTGGAGAGTGAGAATCAAATATTAACGGAGTAGTGCTTGCATTTCTGGTAGCATCCTTGTCACGTTTCGTACACCAGTTGTATTATTAGCAGTGCCAAACTTGAGACCTCGCCATGGCCAACACAAACGCCTCAGTCTACGGCGATTTATTCGCTCCCTTTTCTCTACTTCTTCTAATTGTCTTGTTAGCTCCTCAATCTGCTTATGTAGCTCAGTAGCTCTGCTGTCTGCAAGTTGGAGAGAACTCTCAGCTGCCTCCCTAGCAGCGATGGCTGTCGCCACTAGTTCATCTTTCAGCTGCAACTTGCTATTGGAAATACGTGAAGCAGCTCTTGTCTTTTCCAATTCTTGTTTCAGAATATTAACCTGTCGTTAACAAAATTTTAGCATCACTTTTGCCTCGGGTTCACAAAAAAATAGTGTTTTCACTAGTCTTACAAGTAGTAGTGTAGCTTAATCATAAGCCCATTAGAAAAACAGACTCCGTTTCGGCTTTCCTGCTTTCTTTAGCTTTCTAGCTATTCAGGGCAATTGGTTCTCAAAGGCTCACGTCATTCCAATTGGAATAGTTTATAAATTAAGCAATCAAAATCTACACTGTTCTTTATTTCATACATTAGATTCCCCATTACAGACATTGTGAATACCTGAACCCAAAAGGTCTAAATAAAGGTTGGAGAAGCTACAATGGTACAAAGAAATGCCAAGTATTTGAGAAAATTGTAGTTAGAAAGCATATGGTAGAAGCTGCACATCAGTAAAATAGAGTATATTGATCAGTGGCAGAGTAATTACCTTTAGGTGTCTATTTTCTGGGAAAAGGGAATTTTTTGGGAGAGTTCAGGACTAAGTTTTTCCTCATATTTACATATGCTAGCACAGAAGAGAGAAGCACCGGTACTCCAAAATGAACCTATTCCCACGTTCTTCTGGCCTCCTAAGGAAAGCAACTTCCCCTAGAGAGAGATAGGGCAGTAAGGACACCCTCTACAGCTTAAATTGGCTAGAAAATGTAGCCTAATTCCTCTCATTCTTTGAAAGACAGTCACTGAGTGGATTCATTAATTTTAGCTGAATTAGTATGTATTCAGGAATATTTGCTGCATCAGTACTGTAACCAACTTACTAATGCTTTACGTTACTGGTCGACCACCAAAAATAAAATCTAGCAACTACTTGTGATAATGTGAGGGCAGAAACAAAGCAAGTAAAAATAAGAAAGCTCGATAGATCATGCGAACCTACCAGTTCTTCGTGCTCCTTAATAGCTTTCTTTCCAGCTGCCACTTCCATTTCACAAGCTTCTCTCCATCTAGAGATTTGTTCATAAGCGTCTTTATTTTCTACTACGAGTGCTTCGACCTGGAAGATGAGACAGGGAAAAAGCATGTAACAGTTGAACATCTTAAGGGCTGGTACCTTAGAAACTAACCTTTTGAGTAAGCATCATTTCTCTATCTTCCAACTCTTTAATGTATATCATGTTTTCTGCTAGTTTCTGACTTTGTTTGTCTGATAGAATCTGCAGAGACCCCATGCCTGACCTGGCAGTTACTAGATAATTAAACACAAGACTCCAGGTAAAGCATTAAATCAAGGGTAAACTTTCTATCATCCATGTTGTCCAACTCCTTGCCCCAACATACGTATATTTAGGAGTTCGTCAAGCCTTGTGGGAAGAATGAGATTAACAGACAACAAGATCACATGTTTGAGCAACTTTAAAGAAAGTTTATTGAATTCATTTAAAGAGGGGGAATCAACGACAGTGATATCATCTCGTTCTTGAACTTCTTGCAACCTGACAGAAATGATCTCTCAATGCATAATAAGGAGCTTTAAGATTGTACCAGAAAAGGTACACTTTACCACAGCCAATTGATTGAGCCTCATTCGGAGAATGTTATCCTAGTCAATGTAATGCTCTCAAGCACCAGACTTGGTTTTGCACTGTAGTTAATGACATAATGCTATTACTGCATATTCGAGTTTCATGCTCCCACCTTCACTTGTAAAATTTGAAAGATAATAATCTTATACAAACTTGATCTAAGATAGTATCATATTGGATTCAATCATGCAGTACGGAGTATAAGAAGAAGCTAAAGGAAATACCATCCCTAATTTTTGTAGGATTGCGTATAGGTGTTCGTAACACGCAGCGGAAGACAATAACAATCCTAGACAGAT